TTCATGAACATACCTGTTTTTTTTTATTATTAGTGGTTCAGATCTTCATTGGACACTGGATCAAACTGTCACTCAGAGCTCACTCCCTTTTTCCTGGTGACTTCCCAGTGTCTCTTAGTTAAGAGTTTTGTTCTCTTTGTCAGTTGCACCTCTGGTTATGTGGAAACAGGAGGACCGATGATTGTCAGTGTCAAACATCTGCATTGCTTAGTTCAAAACCCTCTGAGATATGGCCTGCACACCTGTACTTACCTGCCTGACATCGCCTGGACATCCTGGAACCTCTCGCCTATGAAAGAAACATCTCATCATCTTTTTTGTAAAGTGTACTTAGATTAATCATTAGTTACCATTGTTTTAGTAGATAACTTGTCCCAAGACTAAGCCTGACTTAGCTAATTTCATTTGTAAATAAAAATTAAAAACATTTATTCTGTCACTTCCTGCGTTGGGCTCATTAAAAGGTCTGTAGCTGGAAACATTGGCATTAAAGGCACTATAAAAAATACGCCTAGATTTTTTGCAAACATATAACAATATGATTGTAGTGGGTCATAACTTTTCTAAGAAATTAGATTGTCAAACTAAAATGTATTTTTTGTTTTATATTAAGGTTATAAAAATTGATTTGTGACTGTACATATTTAAGAAAATTCAGCAAAGTCTCAATAAAAGTACAATGTAAACTGGTAGACAAACAAGGGAATTATAAAACAAGAAGAGCAGTGGGCCAAAAATGGAGCCTTGGGGTACGCCACAACTAAGTGTGCACCCATTTGAAGAATACCTTTCTAGACCACTTGTATCAGTCAAACAGGAAAAAAAAAACATCAATCAATGTGTCAAATGTAGTTTTTATTCACTGTTGGGGTCACTTTGACCATTAAACTGAATTACTGAGTCCTGACGGAAAGCAAACATTTTCAGAGCAATGTTGCTCAGTCCTCTCTCTGTCAGGGTCAACAGTGACAGCCCAGAGGCAACATCAATATTTACATAAACAGTGACTTGTCATCTGACCCATCTTTAACACAACAGCAGATGGGACTGGGCTGGGCCACCTTCACATACTGGATGCTGTCACATAAATCCTCCTAAGAGCGGTACAAGCTTTTTAATTAAACGTTTACAACAACCCCAAGGCAGGATTTCCCTCGAAAGTCATTTGAATTAAGAGACAAGTTGAGAAAGTGAGACCGCTGGTGAACAATATGACTTTGGTTGACCTTTGAGCCCCCAGTTTGATGTTTCAGCATATTAATTGCTGCAAGTGACAGAGCTTTCACCTCTGTGCATAAATGTAACAAGCTGCCTTGAACAGAGCAAGAAAAACTCATCTTTGTTTCATATGTTATGCATTCATGATTGATTTTATGTTGATTTAGCTCCTGGATATTGCTAGGCTTCCACTGTGGTTAAACTGTTACACACGTTTAAACTACTCCATACTTTGCTCTTTTTAACGAGTCATGTATCAAAATTTTCAGCTCATATGGGAGTAGTGTGCTATGATTTTTATTATTTGTAGCATTTATGTTTTGAATTATTTAAGTTTATATACATTTTCCCATAAGAAATATACATTTCTTCAACTGCTTCCAAAATATTGTTCTTAGAAACCTACTTCAGAGCACTAGCTCAATTGTTTTCTTTTTCTTCTTTTAGCTACTTTCTTGCTCATTTTCACTTCTAGCTAGTTTTGCTTGTTCTAGCTTTTAGCTAAAATTCTGCTCATAGCTAGTTTTAGCATTTAACTGTGACCCTTTGATCGTTTTAGCCTTAAGCTATGGATTTGCCAATTGTAGCCTTTAGTTTTATTTTGTCGTCTTAATCCTAATAATTTCAGCTTTTTTTAAACAAATGTCAGCAGTTTAGTTTGGAACTTCATTTAAATTAGTTTACTTGTAAAGTACATTTCAAGAGTCGTGTTAAAAAGGTAAATGGGTCAGTTTCAAATCGAATTACATGAAATACAATTCAGTCAGATATGCTCAAATTCAAATACAAAATGTATTTTTGTACTAAAATGTGCATTTATTCATGTAGTGGGATACAGTACAGACTGATCAATGGCTCATTTAAAAGCATTTGTACTTTTTATGGTTTTCTTTGTACACATAAAAATGTGAATTTTGTTTTTCCGTGCATTAACAAGTTCCAGACTGTGCTGACGGGCCTCACTGGCTTGACTGGAAAAGCAGTGTTAAAAGTAATTAGTTCCACCTATGTGCCTCCTGATATAACAAGTCTATTATAAGTAGGACTCATACAAGAAGAGAGGGCAGAGGACAGCGAGGATTAATGTGATGAAAAGCAGAATCTGACCTTGGAAACCTTAAAGTCTGTGGAGAGATGAATATGAGCTGGGTGCAGCAATGCTCCACAAGGATGGAGGCTTTAGGGCCGCTCCCTCACTCAGGGCTGCATATCTGCGTTAAATGCAAATTTGTTAGAAACTGGAAACGTTGGTAGAATATGAAGAGGTGACTTTTCATCGCAGGTTCATTTTGCTGCTAGTTATATTTGTCACAAACGCGCCTCATTACATTCAGAAGGCGCATCAGTATAATTCTGGCAGTGGCTGTAGCTGTGGTTTCAGCAGCACAGCTGGACGTTTTCACATCAGCACAGGTTCAGCGACGATACAGCCAGACCGAGCAGCTGCAGCTGCGCTCCCAACCAGCAGCCGTAAACACTGAATGCCAATGAGCATTAAAACGGAGCTCATGAAGCGTCACATCGTTTCCTTTATCTGAGCTCTTTTAGACGACCAGCAAGCCACGTTGGTGTCTGGACTTTTTAATTTTCCAGTCATAATCATTTATTTTCGAAGATCTGAAGTATCGGTCGGTTCATTTGCCGTTTAAGATTAAAAACAAAACATCATTTATAGCGAGGATCATGAGGGAATCAATAAGACGTTTCAGTACTGATGACGTTAAAGACGTTTTGTTTTTTTAAAGCATTCAGAATGAAATAATTTCTCAATAAGTCCAACACTGTGGCGCGTGTGTGTGTAACCCAATGACACATTTTCCCAGCATTTGGTGCCTGGCAGGTGGTCGGTACTGATTCTCCACAACAGTTGGCATTTAGAAATGACCTCAATCTGCACAGTAGACAGACACGACTGCCTTCATTACAGAGATTAGCGTTCTGGTTAAAATATTTGAAAATAATCAGATTCGACTGGTTTCATCATGTTTAATTCAAATGTTTTTAACACTACATGGTTTAAAACCCCTGGTATTAACAATCATGGTAAATGGATGAAAAAAAGAGTGAACAAATTGTTCTCAAAGATGGGGGCGTTGCCTTCACATATCTTGAATATTTGATCATTAAACTAAAAAAAAAACTAATTTTATAGATGCCGCCATGATAATCGTCTTGGTTGTAATAGCCCATAAGAATTTTTTTACCCGTGTCTGTTTGCTTTAGTGTTAGCAAAATATCTTATGAACTGGATGGACTTCAAAAAGGTATCACTATCTTCAGTTTACATTTAAAATTCCCAATACAGCCAACCAATTTTAGCAAACACGAAAAATTGCTCTAACTCAGCCAATTTTACAGACATGGAGTTAAAATGTGGTTTGGTAGTAGCTGAGAGTCATACCCAACACATACTCAAAGCACTACAAATTGTGCAGTCTTTTTGTTTAAAACTTTAGCATTAAAAACCTGTCAAGCACCACTGCACAGATGTTATAGAAACTTTCAGAGCAATCACTAGTTATCATTAACTTTAGGAGTCAGTCCAATTCAAGATGGCTGCCAAAGCTAAATCATACAAGCAAATATAAAAAAGGCTACAAGTCAATTTTACTGAAATTAAACTAAAGTTTTGACATGGTAATAACTGAAGATATCCACAGCACTAACTCTAAGCGTGACCCCTTTAAGATTGAGCATAACCTGAGTCAGACGATGTGCATCCTTTCACGGTACGTTAAGTCTTTTAATTTATAGATGATAGCAGATAATTGTCTTGGTCATTTAAAATGTAAATAAAGAATTAATACGATGTAATAACATTGAAAACTTTATTAGTTTTGTTTTTAAAATTTTATAAAGAACATATTTCAGGTCTGCACATGCAATTGTTAATATGATCAGAGGTCTAAAATAAAATGAACTAATCTTCAAGTCCAGTTTTAGATACAAGGAAAAAAATACATACCGTATTTTTCAGACTATAAGCAGCACTTAAAATCCTTGAATTTTCTCAAAAATCCACAGTGAGCCTTATAATCCGGTGCACTTCAGTATTAATTCTGGTTGTACTTACTGACCACAAAACGATTTTCTGTGGTACACGGAGCTAAAAAAGCTGTCAAAATGAACTTGTTTCGCTTAATGCGCCTTATAATCTGGTGCGCCTTAAAAAATACGGTACCGATTATTTATTTTACTTATTGTGCCTTTTGATGCAACATTTCCCTTTGAAGAATTTAAAACTCTATTATTTATCCCCCCTGAGGGCAGGCTTGACACATGGATTGATTATTTGTCGTTTTCTAAACAGCTCTTCCATACTTTTAAGCTAAAGAAAAGTCCGTCTCATGGTTGAAGTCGGGGTGAAAGCATGTCAGTCGTTTGGAAGAGACGCTGCTTCTCCACACGGAAGATTAGAAAACATTTTGGTGAAGATTTACCCAAAACATCCGACTATTTTAAAACGTCAGGAGAGACCCTAAATGACAACAGATCTCTGTTCTGTGTGAAACATCTTGACTGCTGCAGCTGCTGTAACAAATCTACAAATTAGCAACGACAACTAATTAAAAGATCAATGATGCTTCAGCTATTTTTCCTGTAGTTTCTTTGCAGGTAGGGATTCCTTTATTATGTACACATCAATTAGTAAAACTGTTAAATACCAGTGTGTTGGTCAGTTCTGTGGTAATTCAGACCTTGTATATTTTGAAATGAGTAAATCTGAACAGATTACTCAAATTTTCACAAGTTAACAGCAAACCTCCCCCAAATCTTGGTTTTTGTAAAGCTGTGAAATCTTTACTGATACGTGTCCGTAGAGCTGCTGAATGGAAATAAATATTAAGAATAAATCACGGTGCTCATCAGAGTCTGTTCCTGCTCGAGTTCTGACGTAATAAAGCCGTTTGAGTTCAGGTCTGAACATCGGACAGCTTCCTCTTGCGGTAGTTGAGAACCAGACTGGAGGCGGTGAGCTGCGAGGCCCGACCCTTCTCCCAGCTTTGAAAGCTGTTCAGGCCGTTCTGACCGGACCTGAACAGAACTTTCTCCAGGCTGTCCAGACGCTCCACCAGCGCAGAAGTGTCCTCGTTGTAGGCGTTCTGGGAGGAGTCCATGGTTCGTCTGAACCGGCCGACGAACGTCTGAAGAAAGAATAGAGTTCATGAACTAAGCAGAAAATGGGGAGAGGGGGGAGAACCTGAAGTCTGCTGCACAAGCATGATATTTTAAGGTATTTTACTTTGAAATTTAATGTTCAGTACTACAAACCGGATTCCAAAAAAGTTGGGACACTAAGCAAATTGTGAATAAAAACTGAATGCAATGATGTGGAGATGGCAAATGTCAATATTTTATTCGTAATATAACATAGATGACAGATCAAAAGTTTAATCTGAGTAAATGTAACATTTTAAAGGAAAAATATGTTGATTCAAAATTTCACAGTGTCAACAAATCCCAAAAAAGTTGGGACAAGTAGCAATAAGTGTCTGGAAAAAGGAAATTGAGCATATAACGAATAGCTGGAAGACCAATTAACACTAATTAGGTCAATTGACAACATGATTGTGTATAAAAAGAGCTTCTCAGGGTGTCAGTGTCTCTCAGAAGCCAAGATGGTAAGAGGATCACCAATTCCACCATTGTTGCGCAGAAAGATGGTGCAGCAATACCAGAATGGTGTTACCCAGCGTAAAATAGCAAAGACTTTTAAGTTATCATCATCAACCGTGCATAACATCATCAAAAGATTCAGTGAATCTGGAACAATCGCTGTGCGTAAGGGTCAAGGCCGTAAATCTCTACTGGATGCTCGTGATCTCCGGGCCCTTAAACGTCACTGCTCCTCAAACAGGAATGCCACTGTCAAGGAAATAATAGAATGGGCTCATGAATACTTCCAGAAAGCATTGACAGTGAACACAATCCACCGTGCCATCTGCCGTTGCCAGCTGAAACTCTACAGTGCAAAGAGGAAGCAAGCAAGCTCCACAAGCTCAGACGTTTGCACTGGGCCAGGGGTCATTTAAAATGGAGTGTGGCAAAATGGAAGACTGTTCCGTGGTCAGATGAGTCACGATTTGAAGTTCTTTATGGAACACTGGGACGCCATGTCATCCGGACCAGAGAGGACAAGGATAGCCCAAGTTGGTATCAATGCTCCGTTCAGAAGCCTGCATCACTGATGGTATGGGGTTGCATGAGCGCTTGTGGCATGGGCAGCTTGCATGTCTGGAAAGGCACCATTAATGCAGAGATCTATGTTCAGGTTCTAGAACAACATATGCTCCCACCTAGACGTCATCTCTTTCAGGGAAGACCCTGCATTTTTCAACACGATAATGCCAGACCACATTCTGCAGCAATCACAACATCATGGCTACATAGGAGAAGGATCCGGGTACTGAAATGGCCAGCCTGCAGTCCAGATCTTTCACCTATAGAGAACATTTGGCGCATCATAAAGAGGAAGGTGCGACAAAGAAGGCCCAAGACGATTGAACAGTTAGAGGCCTGTATTAGACATGAATGGGAGAGCATTCCTATTTCTAAACTTGAGAAACTGGTCTCCTCTGTCCCCAGACGTCTGTTGAGTGTTGTAAGAAGTGGGGATGCCACACAGTGGTAAAAATGGACTTGTCCCAACTTTTTTGGGATTTGTTGACGCCATGAAATTTGGAAACAACAGATTTTTCCCTTAAAATGATACATTCTCTCAGTTTAAACTTTTGATCTGTGATTTGTGTTCTATTCTGAATAAAATGTTAGATGTTGGCACCTCCACATCATTGCATTCAGTTTTTATTCACAATTTGTTTAGTGTCCCAACTTTTTTGGAATCCGGTTTGCAGATTCATTACACAAAGTGAAATATTTCAAGCCTTTATTTCTTGTAATTATGATTATGATATACAAATAATTAAAAAACAAAATTCTCTGTCTCAGAAAATTAGAAAATTGTGAAGAGGTCCAATATTTTAAAAACCTGGTGCCACATCCTGATCAGCGGATTAACTCCTGGACATGAGCTACAAGTGTCTCGTTCCTCGGGTCCTGCCACTCCTGAACCAGCGACAACGTCAGTGTCTTACCTGCTGAGGAGAAGAACTTGACTGTTGCTCAGTGGTCCAACGTTCTCTTTTCAGACAAAAGTAAATGTTCATGTCATTTAGAAATCAAGGTCCCAGAGTCTGGAGGAAGAGTGGAGAGGTCCAGAATCCACGTTGCTTGAAGTCCAAAGTGAGTTACCACAGTCTGTGATGACTTGGCTCCATGTCCTCTGTTGGTGCTTGTCCACTGGATTTTCTGAAGTCCACAGTCAACGCATCATCTAGCAGGACATTTTAAAGACTCCATGCTTCCTTCTGCTGACGAGCTGTATGGAGATGCTGATTTCATTTTCCAGCAGGACTCGACACCGGCCCACACTGCCAAAGGTACCAAAAGCTGGAGGTGGAATATTCTAATTATCTGAGACTCTGAATTTTATTTTTTTCATTATCTATAAGACATAATCATCAAAATTACAAGAAAAAAAGTCTTGAAATATTTCACTCTGTGTAGTGAATCTATATACGGTAATATACGTTTCACTTTCTGCAATGATTGACAAAAAAACTGAACTTCTTCATGATACAGTATTCAAATGTTTTGAAACACACCTGTATATTAAGATTGATCTGCCTAGCAACAGCCAGGACCCCCCCACCACCCCCATGTAGCATGTTTTCTGAGTTCACTTCGCTCTCTAGTGGTGAGATGCAGAACGACTCAGGCAGTTTTACAAAGAAAATCTGCAGCTAAATATTTGCAATCTGTAATTTATTGGCTATTAAAATTTTACTTACCACACATAAAATGAAGCTGATGCATGAATTAAAAGCCTCTTCAAACTTTACTGCACTGGCAGTGGAAGCCTGTCTGATTGTTCAGTATTTTAGCTAATTCTGAGTTAAGTGGTTCATTAGCTTTGAACAACAGCCCGTCTGAGACTGATCCGTTTACATCTACCTGTAAGGAAGATATGTTTGTGCTTATTAATAAATGTTAAACATTTAATAAAGACTATTTATTCTTTAAGAAGAGAGCACACATTTATTATTCTTCTCCTGCAGGTTTGCTCCACCTCCTAAAGGTCAAACACGCCGTTTTAATTCATTTTCAGGGACGCGCTGCTCTCTTCATAATAAAAATAAATGACTGCGTTTGATGTTTAATGTGTGTAACAAGGACACCTGTCTGACTGAAAGATTTATTATATCGTGTTTGTCCCCTGTGGGTCATTATTATGAACTGACTCGTGTCAGAAGCGACTCTGATATTTCGTCTACTCTCGGTTTGTGTAACTGCTTTGTACCTGCAACAGTGCCTTTGCAATGTCTGGATTCTCTGGCCTGTCGAAGTGCAGCATCTGGGATCCCAAACCGTAGTAGTAGGGCCCCATTTTATGCAGGTCGACCACATTGGGGTCAGCCGTGAAGACGGTCCTCCAACCCTCTCTGTACACCTTGGGAAGCTCCACAGACAGCACCTTCCTCTTCCTCTCATACAGACCTTTGCACAACCAGAGAGGAAGCTCCATCTTTGTAGCCTGAGAGAGAAAAAGACGCCTCAGAGTTGATGGAATTATGCAGGTTCTCTTGTCTAAAAACACCACTGGAGGGACATGAGTTGGTGCACGTGAGGGTGTAAAATTCAAGCTTTTAAAAGCTTTATAAACCAAGCAAATAAGCAAAATAAACATTCTTTAAAATTAGGGGTGCACCGATAAATCAGCCGATACTTGCAGGAGAAATCGATTTTTTTAGTTTTAACAACAATTGTCTGAACTTCATTTATATTTCTGAGCACTACCTCATGGCCAGTTAAACAAGTTTGTATTGTTTCTAGGATATTGTTCAGGGGTATGTTTTTCAACAAAATAATATTGGAAAATTGAAGGTGCATTGTGACTTCATAACACCTGACAGTGTCGCTTATAAAACAAACTCGGTATCGGCAGATCAGACTTTTTAGAAATCGGTGATCAGCCAGAAAACTGCAATCGATGCACCCCTATTTAAAATGTATTTAAATAAAACACCCATAAAATGACTAAAACAATTTTTATCTTCTGGATTTTGGAAGCATGCTAAAG